ACAACAATTCAAACTTTCTAGGAAATAGATGTCAAGTTTGCTCTTTAAATAAGTTTGAACTATGCAATCCACAAGTTTGCATTTTTTTTCGAGTTTCAATAAGGTCAAGAAGATCAGATGACCACGCAAGACAAAGCAGCAAAAGGCAAATACCTCATGGCCTTGATCCAATAGCTCCACTGCAGTTGACATGCCTGCCAACCCAGCTCCAATAATAGCCACCTTCAGCTTTGGTCCCCTATGATGTTCAGGTTCTGGTGGAAATAATCCCTTCGGAGCTGGGAATCATAGAATTCAATGCATGGCCAGCGAGAAGAAAAATGTCATCTTACACATCTTACTGACCTTTAAATAAATAAAAAAGCAATACTTTTGTCACACATAATGAGGCATCATAACATATGCATTTGATCTGATGAAAATCTTTACTAGACAACAGTCACCCATTTATAATTTATTCATAGCAGCTGAATGGCAGAATTAAATTTCAATGATACACTTACAAGTCATCTTACCGACCTACTCTCTCAAAATTCAGAGGTAATTAAACAAACTCAGCAGTAACCACCATCAAAAATTAAAAATCACCGTACCAACAATATAAAAAGGGATGAAAAGTCTCAATCTTTAAACCAAAAGAAAGCCCAGATAGGAAAAAAAATGCACAAAAAATAATTAAAGAATACAATTCAAAGCAAAAAAAAACAGTAAGCTTTGAGGGATTACCATTAACACTCATATCAGATACGTTTGTTTCCAAAGAATCCAAAGCAGCCCGAACTGTAAACAACCTTTGATTCCTGAACCCCACCTGAACCACTGACCGCCTACGACCAAAACCACCAGAGAACGATAACCCCGGTGGGCTAGTCTCTCTTCTAGTTCCAGTAACAGATTTTGCAGGGAAAAGAATCAAAGAAACCATGATTTTCTTCACTGCTCAGTCAGGAATTCAAGAAAATTCTTCACCTCTTACTCTTCTTTCTTTGAATTATTGGTATAAACCAAAAGACAACAAGTCTTGCTTGGCAGACAAAGAGAGTAGAAGTAAAATAAAGTAAGAAAACGTGAAGTCTTCCTCTATAGTGATAGAGCGTGTGTCACTAGAAAGCACGAATTTTTAACAAGACCAACCAAACTTAGTAAACGTAGACAAAGAATGAGTGAAGGGCATCTCGCGTGGAGGGAGAGAACATGCTTTGGTAGGAGAAATTTGTCAGGTATTTAGGCATGAAGAGGTTGGTTTTGTTAATTGAGATGGGTGTGCTGGAGTCTGTTTTTTAAAATATTAAAAAATTATTTTTATATTAATACATGAAAATATCTATAAATACTAAAACATTACTTTTTATAAAAAGTAGATTCCACCGTATGAGGAGGCCGTACTAAATATATGTTAGAGGGTTGGAATCTGGATGTTGTTGGTTAGTTTTAAATTGTGATAAAAATTATTTTTAAAATAATATTTTTTTTTTAATTTTTAAAATTTATAATGTGGTGCTAAGTTTTTTCAAAAATATTTTTAAATTTAAAATATATTAAAATAATATTTTTTTTTCAATATAAACACCTTAAAATTATTTAAAAATATCTAAAATAACACTTTAAAAAATAGATTAGATTTCACAAACAAGTATGGTGCAACTTGTATAGTTACAACTGCATTTTTTCTTTATTATAGTTTTGAAAATGTGGTAAATTGAAAAAAAAATTAAAAACAATTGAGTATAAAGATTAAATGGAAAATAAATAAAACTTTAAAAAATAAACAAAAATCAAAAATCAAAACCAAAATGAATGAATTTGAAACACTAATAACAAGGATCAAAGTTCATTTTTCAAGCTACGAGAGTGAAATAAAAATGAAAAATAAAAGTTAATTAATGATAAACTATATATTATAAGCTGATACATATCACCTAATAAAAAAAATACAACAAAAAATTAAATGAAATAACAAAAATATATTTTTCACTATCAAGAAGTGTCATATATGTTATCCAAATAGAATGAATGAATTTAAAACACTAAGAACAACGATCAAAGTTCATTTTTCAAGGTACGAGAGTGAAATGAAAATGAAAAATAAACATCAATCAATGATAAACTATATATTGTAAGCTGATATATACCACCCAATAAAAAAGAAAACATAACAAGAAATTAAATGAGATAATAGAAATATATTTTTAATTATCAGAAGGTGTCAGATATGCCACCGAAATAATATGATGTTATCCATTCTCTAGCTCGTGCTTTAACTTTTTTTTAATTAAAATAATATTAATTAAATATAAAATAATATTATTATTGTTAATCAACTCAACCTAATAGGCCATTTGATAATAAAGAGTGACTTGATAAGTGTTTAAAACTCTAACTGCATTAGTAATTTGTAATTAGATTTTTAAAAAGTGATAAAGTTGAGGATTATCTAAGACTATATTAAAGTTGAGATAAAGGGTAACAATTACGGTGCTATAATTAAGTATGGTTTCAAGAGAGCCAATATATGCATGTTAATATTTTAGATATTAGGTATTTAGAAGAGTTAATTTTATTATAACAAGTAATTTTTTATGATCATGATAAAACAAAGCTAACTGGATAGCATCAAAATAAATGTGTATAGTTTTAAAAAATTTATTGACTTAAAAATTTGAATAAAATTTTAAAAATAATAAATTGATCTCAAGAAGTAGCACTAAATTTATGCTGGTCAAACAGGAAGCTTGAACATATTAATTAAAATAATACCCTTATTCCATGGCTTAAACTTTTTGGCCCCAATGACAGGCACACGCGCGCAAACATATATATATGACAAGACTGACATATATATTCTCAACAGTCTTAGTAATTTTTTTTTTTAAATGAAAGCATTTTGATTGTTTTACTGCTTATTAAAATTTTAAAAAATAAAAATATAATAATTACTAAGCTGTGAGAAAAAGATAAAAATGTCCTTTGATCGAAGGCAAGTAATTTTGAAAAAACAAGCTATAGATGTCATTTCACTGCTACAGTAAACAGTGAAATGTTTCTATAAACACAGTGAAATCATCTTCCCCTTTGTTTTTGTTTTTTTATCTTATATTATGAGATGGTGACAATAATATATAATAAAATATTAGAAAATGTACCCTATTTCTGTTCAGTCTAGTTTTGATAGAAGAGTCGGGATTACTTTTCACTAACCATCTTAAAAAAATAAAAATAAAATAAAAAACTTAATTGTCGTCTAATAATTGCGTCATTCCAATTTTCAAATTTAGCTAAGAGCACAAGAACATTAGTTTTATTGATAATTCAAGTTATTGAGATAAATGTACGTCTTCCAACAAGTCGTTGTATCTATTTTCATGTTACATGATTCTATATGTCACAATATAGAATCATTTATATAATAATGATAAATAACAATTTTGCCGGTGACAAATTCTAATATAACTTCATTATTCATTCATGCCGCAAAAAGAAAATAATAACCAATAGTGGTTTATTCAAGTGGTTTAGTACTTGCTTCTCTTTAATAAAATTTTGAGTTAAAATCTTAAATGTGTATCACATTATTACTCAAAAAGTTTGATCTTTTAATAGATTGATCTGACTCAATTATACTAATCGGAATCTAGTAAACTTTTAAATATTAGAATTTAAAAAAAAAACTAAAAAAGAATGATAACAACATTTATTCCAAGTAGTTCACTAATATTAGAATTACCTCCTAATATAATTTGATAAACTAATTTTTTATTTTTTTTATAGAAAAAAACAAACAAAACGAAAAAGAAAATAGCTCAATGGCTAAGCATTCATCTAAAAGATGCTAATGGCGGACACCATTATCACAGCTCCATGAGACCATTAGTGCTTGTTATAGTTTCTGTTCCGCGTAAGTGTATGGTATATACCTTCATGGGGAGGAACCTTTGATGAACAATCTCTAGCAAATGTTTCTTCAATTTTTTAAGTTTTTGATTGCCTATTTATTTTTGTGTATCAAATGTTTTATAAAAATTATTTTTTATTAATTTTTTTATTTTAAATTAATTTTTTTTAATATTTCTAGATTATTTTAATTTAACCAATGATAGTTAATTCAAATGATTATACTTTAGTTACTTTTAAATAAAATTTTGATTTCGTGTCTTGTGAATAAAATATATTATCATCCAAAAAATATTACTTTTTAATGGCTTAACATGATTGAACCAAATTAGTTAAGATCCTGTGAACTTTTAGATAATAGAGTCCAGATAAAAAAAAAATTATTTTAATGTATTAATATTTAAAATAGTTTTTATAATTTTTAAAAATATTATTTTAATATATTTTAAAATAAAAAAAAATACTTTAAACATATGCAACCAGACTCTCCGTATCCTTGGACCGCATTCTTGTATCCTTTGAAAGCGCGCATGCATGCATTTCACTATTATAATGAATAATAATCCATGATTGTGTGCAAATTGGTTTGTTTTTCATATACATGGGTTCTTCGGATAAAGTTCTAACAAAGTTTATAGTGTTTGATGTATTATCCAATTCTTTTTACCTTTTTTTTTTTGTTTTTGTGTTTTCCAACCTTAGTTTTTTTTTTGTATTAATTAATTAATTTCACTCCAGCTTCGCCCCTACAAACTAACGACAACAAATCAAAATCTAGACTAAGGTTGTTAACACACTAAAAAACACAAAGACAAAGATAAGATAAGAGAGGAAGAAGATAAGCGCTGCCACTGATGACAAAACTAGCCTATCAATGGATATTAGGGTTTTTCTTTCTAATTGAAAACCAAGAGAGAGACAAAGAGTTAAATCTCAACTTAATCATTAACTCTTTATTCTCTCCCATCTATAATTTGATAATTAGTCATCACCAGAAGATCCACGCATGAGATTCAAAAAAATCTGAAAATAAAAAAGAGAAGGTAAAAGTCATGAGACCTTTTGTTTTTTACAATATCATTAAAGTTAGTTAAATATGTTAATTTTATAACTTCTTGACATTATTCATTTTAGCTTGAGTTTCAAATTAAATTATGTGGACATTACATTAAAATAACATCGTTGACTTAATATGTTCATAAGCAATTTGGATAGCTGAAAAAAATTCAATATGATATTTTTTTTTTAATTTCAAGACAATAACATCCTGAATCCCTGCCTTCGCCACTTAATCCTTCAAACTCACAATGCCTTTCCCACTTAACCCTTCAAACTCACGATCCTGGTCATAGATTTCACTAAGTTTAATAAGTTTGTTTTTTAAACTATTTTTTATTTAATTATAAAATAAAAAAAATAGACTTGCAAAGTCAAGCACAAATTCACTATTAGGATATTTGTTTGAGACCGCAATAATCCTATAAAAAATAAATAAAAATAAATTATAAAATATATTTTTCAATCAATTCAAGTTAACATGTCAAATTCATAATTTGAAACATGGATTCCATTGAGTTTAATAAATTAACTTTTAAAAATATTTTTTTATTTTATTTATATAATAACTAAAATAGACACCATAAAATTGAGCACCAACAAAATATAGAGATATTTGTTTGAGACCATGATAAATGTACAAAAAAAACTAAAATTTTTATTTTATTTTATTTATATGACAACTAAAATAGACACCATAAAATTGAGCACCAACAAAATATAGAGATATTTGTTTGAGACCATGATAAATGTACAAAAAAAACTAAAATTTTTATTTTATTTTATTTATATGACAACTAAAATAGACACCATAAAATTGAGCACCAACAAAATATAGAGATATTTGTTTGAGACCATGATAAATGTACAAAAAAAAACTAAAATTTTTATTTTATTTTATTTATATGACAACTAAAATAGACATCATAAAATTGAGCACCAACAAAAAACAAAGATGTTTGTTTGAGATTATAATAACTCTAAAAAAAACAAAACAAAAAAAAATATAAAGACTGATTCAAAATCAACTAAATGTTAAAAAAATATAAAATTAAACAAAACAATAAAAAAAAATTCATTAAAAACATAATATTAAATAATGGATTTGAAAAAAAAAAAACAATCCAAATATATGGGCCTTTACAAAAAAAAAAAAAAAAAAACCCAAAGTGCATGCCTTGACCTTTAAAAAAAATTAAAAAAAAATCAAACAAAATATCATTTTCCACAATAGAAAAAAATTATTTTTATTGCCAGAATTCAAACATCCTTTTGCT